TATTGCCAGCTGCAGTATCCGCAGTGTATCGGAGGTGCAACGGCAGTCCCTATGAAACATAATCCCTCGACGGGGAGGGGCGTTTATGACTAAGTATTTTATAATCAAGTGGCAAAACTATCTGTATCTGTAGCTGCTTCTGCGCTAATGTATCTGTATCTTTAACTGCTTAGTTCCTTAGCTGGGCTGGCATTACGCAGCAGATTGTTGGAGTTTTTTTGTTCGTGGACAGCGCCAGACGACACTTTGAGGAATGTCTCTCGCTTACAGAACTACTATCCATAAGATGCATTCTCATGACTGGCTGTAATGGAAAAATGTAATGCGAGACTGCAGATACAAAAATTCCTCAAGGAATCTGTGTGATAATCATTAAAAAATAATCAAAAATTATGAAAAATATCGGAATCTCAGTCAAAGTAAAAGATACAAGATATTCAATTTCTCTTATTGTGAGATGCTTTTGTGGGAACACAATCTGTGGACCACCCTTAAACGTTTTTAATAAAAACTGAAGTATATTTGGAATATTTCATTTTATTATGAAATTCCGACAAAAGAATTCTTTTCATATTTCTAGGAATGATGAAACGAAACCCATTAGATCCCAAAAATATCTAGGAGCTTCTGCTTATGCCTTGAATTTTGAGTGTTGTTTAGGACACATTAAGTGCAAAATACAAGTATATTGTATAAAATATAAGAGGCTCCTACAAATCATTTGAAACACTTAAGGAATACACAAATAACTTCAAGAACCTTTCGTACCAATTCCACCTTCAAAAGATCGTTTTGTATCTGACAGTATTACTAAACTTGCAACCCATTAAGCCATAAAATCGTACCCAAATGTCAGAGTTATCTTCTTGAATGGCCAATACATACATATCTGTCACAATAAAAAACAACTGAAACCAATCTACAAGTCATCTTTTTTGTCAGCATAATAAAACCATTTAAAGTATGAGTTTATTCACGAATGCTCTTCGGAATACTCCAACTCCAACTCCAACTCCAACTCCACTCCACAGTCCACTCATTTGTGAATCCAGTCACATATCATCATCCGTTCGCGTATCCTGAAAGACAACTTCCTTCCCCAGCGATCGTGTGCCGTGCTGTGCCCAAGGAGTATGATGATGTGATATGTGATGGCCATTTGGTCATTCAAACACGTGTTCGAATGTGCCGAATGCACTCACGGAATGAATGGAGTTGCGAGTGCATTTTTACAAGTTATTTTATGCAAGCCATAAATATGCACTTTACACTTTTGCACACACACACACACTCACACATACGGACATTTCTCTATCCTCCAAAGCCCCATGTCTCTGGAGTCTCTGCCTCTCTGCCTCTCTGCCTCTCTGTCTTTGTGGGGGGAAAAAACAAACAGCAAATGCCTTTGCCAGATGCTCTTAGTTAGACCAACACAGATATGTATGTATCTTTCTATCTATCTATCTATCTATCTAGCTATCCCATAGAGCGCGGCACCGAGAGAGAAAGAGCACCCAAGTGGTGTCCGTAGTCCCCCTGGAGGGGCGCTCTTGCTGTTGCTGTTGCATACAAATTATGTACAAACATGTTTTGCAGAAATGTTCAATTCATTATCGCTAACAAATGCCGATCATGTTGTGTGTTCAAAAGCAAACACACAACAGTTCAAAGCACTTTTCTGCAAATTATTGCAAACACAGATACTACACAGATCGAAGGAGCACACAGACTCCAATGGACACAATCTGTTGCTGCTGCTCCAGCGATTGATGGACACACTCCACACTCCACACTCCACACTCCACACTGGACACAGACAACGTTCAACTCGGAAGCCCATTGGCCAATGGCCAGGCCATCGCCTAATCGTAATTGCTGTTCCACTAAGTGATATGCCGTGTTCCCACTCCGATGAAACGAAACGAGAAAAAAACCAAATACAAAACAGAATTAAAGTTCACTCCGAAAATCTGTTTTTCAGTCGCAGACTGTACTGCACTGTACCACTCTCTGTTCTCCCTTTATTCCCCTTTTCCACTTAATACACAATTTCCGCTTCCAGAACAAAAAAAAAAGGGGGCAACGGCAACCCTTCTGCGTTTGTGGCTGCCGCTGCGTCTGCGCAGAAACCGAATTAAATTACAGAACGTGCCCCGTTTGGAAATCGCAGCTATGGAGTTCCATTGAGGAGCAGCAGCAGCAGCGGCAGCAGCAGCAGCGGCAGCAGCAGCAGCACCATGCAACAAATTAAAAGGCAATTAACATGCAAAGAGAGGCCAGAGAGGCAGCTGCAACAAATTGCAATCGCTGTGGCAGGTCAAACGCACAAGCACACACACACAGTAACAAAACCCGACATTTACGACTCCTCCAAATCAGCTGAAAATGTGGCTGGCTGGCTGGCTGATTGATTCAAATATACTCAAGCAGCAAGTAGGTCACGCAGCAGCAGCAGCAGCAGCAGCCTCCCACAGATGTGCCACACAGTGCGTATGCGTTACGACAAACAAAATTATTATAAATTACACTTTAGACCCACGAATTTACGGGGTCGGCCACTTGGCCACTCGGCCGCTGATAAGCAGCGTTAAGAACCAATTTTTTATGGTCATGACTAGAGTCTTAGAACGGTGGGGAGGGGGCACAGAGACAACCCACACTTGTACTTGCACACGGTCTTTGGATTTTGTGTTTTTTTTTTGTCATTGACTTAAACACGAAGCCCCTTCCCTTTTTTGTTTTTTCTTTTTTCTTTTCTGTGTGTGGCAGCACCTCGAGAGTGGTCGAGAGTAGAATCTAACAAAACCGCGTGGGCCTGACCCGAAGGACGCTTCCGCTGGCCTTTGAGCCCGCTCAATGTGTGTCTGTGTGTGTGTGTGTGTGTGTGTAATAAGTATGCAAATTGCCAATCGAGTGGAAAACAATTGATTTTTAATGAATTCTGAGGTCAGGGTCGTCGGCGTAGTCGGCGCTCCACACTCGACAATTATTGGCCATAAATACGGTTACGTTAATAAACTTTGGAATGAAAGATCGTTAGATCGTTAGATCTTTGGCCAGATCTCAGATGTACATATGTATGTGTATATATATGTATTACCTCCAACTAGTGGTGCTGCAATAAAAAGGGAATCCAATACGGAATCCGTTGATTTATGTCTTGGTTGCTCGTTAATTTTCTATATAAAAATAGATGCACTTTTCTTTTGATTTGTATTTTACGATTATTCCTTTTTTTTCTATTTCTTTAGATAGTACAAAAAAATAACAAAAAAAACATTCGAAGGCACTCGGTTTTTATTATAACGTTTTTTCTAGGCACGAGATGTTATGTTATATTCCATTCATCACTTGGGATATACAATTTATTTGCATTTTTATTTCTCCGCGAATTTCTTGGGGCCGCTTTGAAAACTACGAATACACGAAGATACTCTGAGCGCTGAACGGTTGCACGTTTATTGTGTTGCACGCGTTGCAAGGCTCTGCTATCGGACTCGGTTCGGTTCGGAATCGGGGAACGATTTTTGCTTTCTGCCGCACACACGACTGCGCGTCGCAAAGGCCGTTTCAACTTTGGGGCGGCAAGGCCGTTTTCAAATCCGCCCGCCTTCGAATGTTGCTGCCGCTTGAAAATGTTGCTCGGCAACATTGCTCGCGTGTTGCTGGCGGACAAAACAGGGTATGGACGACAGGCATACGGCACAGAAAATTCAACGCCTGTTGGCTAAAGTCCACCCCAATTCGTAACATACTTTGGTTGTTTACAGTGCTTGTAAACAATCAGAGCATATTCCTGATCAAACCACCGTGAGGTGAGGTGCGTGGTCTCTTGAAATGTTGCTGGGCCTGTTTTGCCTGTTGTCCATACCTTTCCATAGTCACCAAAGTTCGGTTACGAAGAGAGAGTGAGAAAGAGAGAGAGAGAGCGAAGTCGAGGCTCGAGTCCGCACGACCAGTTCCATCAAGCCGAATGTTGCTGAAAATCCGCCTCATGTTCTTAAGGCACCTAAAAGCAGTGTGAAACGGAAGAGAGCGCGGAAATACACGAGCAACGAAGACGACGAAATGGCATAAAAACCCATGAGAGTACGCATAACAGCGGCTGTTAGCAGCTAACATTACAAGTTCTAGCATTGTTAGTGCATTTCGACTTATTTTAACAGAGGCAGTTACTCGTCGAAATACGTATAAATTTGAAAATTCTTTGCTTTTGGATGAGGAAAAACCTTTTTAGGCTAAGAACTCTATACCATTGACAAACATTTACTATTACAGATATTAATTATAGATATATTGAGCACTTTTGCTGTATATTATGGACTTGAGATGCTATTTTGTATCGTTTAAGCTTAAATATTATAAAAATATTCATGTATTCTCAGCAAAAATTCAGATTTGATGAATGCATTGCCGCAAGATTATCCACAGTAGAGAGGGGCTCTATTCAATGTGAAAAACATTTAAAAATAAACCCCAATGCATCCTATTCGCCGGATTGATCGATTGTGCATTCAATTGTAATTATCTAAAGATCAATGGAGAAACAGATTAAAAGATACTTCTATGATTCTGTGACAATTTCAAGGAATTTGATTCATTTCCAAAGTATTTTAGAGGAGTAAAATTCCAAGCCACAAGGAAAATCGCATTCCAAGATTTAATTTGGGCCTCGAGAGGCGCACTTAAAGGGTTCCCGTTCCCGTTCCCCACCATCCCATCCCCATCCGCATCTGCTGTTCCTTTGAGTAATCCAACATTCCAATTTATAGAAGAAAAACCAACCCAAAGCCCAAAATCAAAGTAAATTTAACTCCGATTTAAAGAACTTCATTGCCAGGGCAGAAAATTGCTCCCCGACTCCTGGGCCAATTCCGCAGCCTGGTCGTAAATGATATATCTTTTACTCGGATTTCCACACAGATTGCTCTCTAGGACCCCGTCTAGGAGCCCCTCCCCGTCCCCTGGGAGATTCTTTACGACAATTGACGACCACTTACCTCGCCAATTTGATGAGCGGCGCGCAGTGTTGTGGCAATTTGTGCAAATTTGCATAGGAAACGCTGCTCGAAGCGGTCCAGGCAGCCATCGAAGGAGCAGTCGAGCCGCTCACGTGCCTGCTGGATTAATATTGCACGCGTGCGTGCCCAGTAGACGGGATAAATGTGCGACAGATGGCTGTCAATCAGCTGGGCCAGCATGGCGTCCACATCCACCTCCAGCTCCACCTCCAGCTCCAGCTCCACCTTCACATCCACATCCACATCCTCGTTCTCCTTAGCCTGCAACTGGGGAGGGGGGAGGAAACGGGGTTAAGAAAAAGGGCCCCAAAATTTACTTGCGACTGGCCTACGTACCTCAGCAACGTCAGCGAGAGGGGCAGGGGCAGGGGCAGCGCCAGCCAGGTGGGGTATGGGATGCATTTCCACTTGGTGGACCGCCTGCTGCTGCTGCTGCGCCTCGAGACTACAGTCAATGGGTTGGGTGTCCGCATACGCTGTGGAGGAGGCATCATCCGAGCAACAGTCCTCCTCCTCCTCCTCCTCCTCCTCATCCTCATCCTCTTCTGCCACATCTATGGCCGTGGCTCTGGCTGTGGCAGCTTCATTCCTGATCATTATTATCGTGGTAGTAGTCGTAGTCTTTGGCTGTGGCTGTGGCTGCGGCTGTGGCTGCGGCTGCTGCTGCTGACCCGTTAAGCGTTGCCTGCATTTCTTGAGATATTCGCGAACCCGCGATGTGCCGCGGTTCAAAGTTGCCACAGCATTGCTGCTGTTGCTGCTGCTTGTTGCAGTTGTTGCAGGGTATTGACAGCACACATAATTAGCATTTGTTGCCACCACTGGATCCGGATCCTCGACAGCCTCCTCCATCTCCTCGTCGTCGTCGTCGTCGTCCTCTTCCTCATTGCGGGCTATGGGCGCTGGCCTGTTGGCCTCGTTCCTCGTGTTGGCCATTCCCTCCTCTCTCCGCCTTACCTCCTCCTGGGGCACACTCGTGGCTCCCACTGGGACATCGATTTGCGTGTCATTCAACACCAAGATCTCGCCCAAGTCCTCCCTTGTCTGTTTCACCTCCTCCTCCTTTTCTGCTAATTTGGGGCTTTCGGTGGTCCCTGCTCCTCCTCCCCTCTCCGAAGGTGGCGGCCCTGCCTCAATGTTCGTGTCGTCGGCCTGCAAATAGAATCGAATCGGAATTAAAAACAGTCTCTACACCAAAGACACGTGTGAAATGAAGTTCAGAGTGCGCCCAAAAGGGTACACGGTACACGGTACACGGCACGGGAACAGTAGGGTGTGTCTATCTGCCAGATACACAATTGCCGCATTTCAAATGGGCCAAAGTTCTTTGGCGCTGGCTTGGGCTTGGGCTTGTGGCACCACATGCAATGCTGCCTGCCCCGTGCCACCAAAGAGCCGCATTAAACACAATTCATTCGGTTGTCCAGGGCAACCCAGTCGGGGCGGGGGTGGGGTTGGGTGTCCAACAGAGGGGTGACAGTGGGGCAGGCAACCGAGGGCTGATACTAGGGCACAGTGGGGTAAACGTTTCTTCGAGAAGAAGGTTTTAGGACAACAGAATGGGATCCCAACAGAAAGATCTTAAAGTATGAATCCGGTAAGAAGCTTAAGTCCATCCATTCCGATTACAAACTCAACTTTTTATGGAGTTCTTCCAACCCTAGGAAAATTAAGTAAATAAATGTCCCAAAAAGGGATTTTAAGAGTATTTTCTTCATTCTCAATCCATTTTCGATCATCATTCTATCACCTCCCCGATTCCAAAAGAAATTCTTTATGTTTTCCAAGGTCTAAGAATTTTCTTAGACATATCCTTGATTTTTGAGCTCTTTCAGTCCTCGTTGGTATTTTGTTTTCACAATTTCCTGCACTTTCCCATGAAATACAGTGCCACACGGTGCAGCCATGGGGTGGACTGTGCTACGCCTTGTTGCATGTTCAGAAGTTAAACAGAAATCAATTGGGGACAGCATTGATCCACAAGACAAGACTCGACTCGACGCGAAAGGGATGGGGCATGGGGCAGTGGCAGTGGCTGTGGCAGGGGCAACTGCATTGCATGACAATCAAATGAAACGTCAAACGTTCGTTACTGTTGCAGTTGCAGTGGCGGGTTGCTGCTTGCTGGCTGCCGATGTTGTTGCTGCCACAGTTGTCGTTGTCGTTGTCTTTGTCGATTGTCGATTGTCATAGGTCAAGTGTAGCACAGTAGAATTCACTTTCTTTCAGATACACACACACACACTTAAAAAGAAAGAAAAAAAAACACACACACACACCGACTTAGAGACGCCGCAAATTTGCAGTGAAAGTGGACGGGGCGCCTCCTTGGTGCCCCCAAAAACTTTGACCATATCACACACACACACTGCGGCACTGTGGCGGGGCATAACAATGCCGTGGGGCATGTTAAATTTTGTCGTTTTGGTAAATACTTTTGCCCTGACAATGCCACATTGTGCGGCACCGAACAAATGAATTTACCATTTGAGTTTTTCCCCGTTTTCTCACCTATCGACGCCCACGCCACGCTGGCAACTAAATTCCGGTCCTCAACACTACTAGCTCTGCGAGTTCTGCAAGTCCTGCAAGTCCTGCAGGCCCTGTCCTCGAAGGTGGTTCAGCCTCGGCCGCCAGGTGTCGCCCGCGGACGAGCGCAGGCGCATGCGCATCGCCCAGATACAGATACACGCACAGTGGTGCGGCGCGGCGCGAAGCGACGACCCGCAGAGATACTGAGATTTCCAAAAGATTTCCAGAGCGCTTATAAATTTCCACAATTTGTTCGGGCGACGGCTGACTTTGAAGTGCCGTCCGCCGCTGCCACCGCCAATAAATACCCATAAATATATCATCAATATTTTCGTGCCGTTTTTGGGCCGCCGCATGCACTGGGAGAAAAAGAACGGGGCAGGCATCGGGCAATGCCCGATGGAGATTCCCTCCCGATTTGAATTGGTTCTCATTCGTGAAAAAGTAGTGCAATTATGCATTAAATCGAAACCCATTCATTATTTTCACTCTTTCATGGGGCCATGCACTGAGAAAAATTGCGGGTAAGCTGCAGTTCGACAGCGTTTCTGTGGCTCCTGAGTCCTGAATCAGTTTATGGACTTGTATCTTCTGCGGAGATTGCCAAAAAGGAGGCTACTCCGCCGGAGGGCACACACTGCACGACGAAGTGTGCCGATCTGATCCAGATTCGGCTGGCTTTCTCTATGATTCTTCACACGAGAGAGCGCAAGAACAGGAGGCTGTAATATTCTTTCTATTTTCTGGCAGTGTAGTGCATGATTCTGGCTTGGCGCATTCCAACGATTGGCTGGCTGCTGGCTGCTGCTGGCTGCTGCTGCGCTTGCTGTCTGCCACTCGATCCAATGACCATGGCAATGGCACCGGCACCGGCAATGCCACGCACTCCACACGATGAACAGTTGGCAGCAGCAAGGGGTGTGGAAAGAGCACGGGGCAAATGCAATTTGCTGTCATGCCAAAGTCTTGACCAAGTGCCTGGACACTGCTCATCAATTAATTGCTCTCTGGTCTCTGGTCGCTGGTCTCTGGTTGCTGGTCGCTGGTCACTGGCTCCAATCTGGTCTCTGCTGCCGCCTGGGGGCGTTGGCTGTTGGTGCGTGAGGAGTCTTGGGCAGTGGGTCGTCGGTCTGTTGCTGCTTCTGCTGCTGCTGCTGCTGCTAGCCCGCTGTTCAAATTATGGCCGCGCCATCAAAAGGAAATCGAAAATGTTGCACTAGTTGTTCGGGCAGAGCGACAAGCCATTAAAGGAAGGTCGAAACCAAAGCGCAACCTTGGGGCAATCCGATTTGGACCACTCTTCCACTTCAGCGTCTGGGCAGACCACTCTCTCACGCATCTACGGTTTCACCTAACGCCACAGCAGTGACCCACATCCACATCGGACATCGGGCTCTCATCCCATACCATTCCAATACCATCGCATCCATCGCATTCAATCCACTCGTAAATCACAGAAGAAGCGGCAGAAAACAAGATTGGAAATTAATTTTTATGCATCTCTTGTCACATTTGTGTTAATCAAAACATTATGACTGCGTTTTCTTTTATTAATTGGACAACCACCTCCGTCTCCATCTCTAGGCAGGCAGGGAACAGCTCCAGCAGCAGCACCAACAGCAGAAGCATACATTACCCGAGGAGCAACACCTGTGCCTGTGCCAGTGCCAGTGCCAGTGGCTCTGCCTTGCTGCCCACCAAACAAATTAAATTTATTGCGTGTGATTTTGATAGCAGAGAGAGAGAGACAGTCGAAAGACAGGCCACAGAGATACACACAGAAATATTGCGTCAGTAACTAATTTGTTAGACGGCGGTACGAGTATAACGGGGCGCCAGATCCCCCAACACCAGCTTCAGCTCCAGCTCCAGCTCCAAGACCAAGTGCACCTCCATCCGATGATCTGAAGCGGGGGAGGATCTGTCCACGTAGGTAGTGAAAATTGCGTTTGCCACAGACACAGCCACAGCCACAGATACAGACTTCTTTGAGAGAGTGCGACCATAGAGAAGGCTCCCCATCTGTGTGCAGAAAAGCCCCACCGTGCCGCCAAGAAATGCGTGTGTGCGGCACGGCACGGCGTGGCGTGGGTGGCTGCTGCAACTGCTCCCAAATTAAGTGACAGCCCAGCCACGAAATTGAAAATGACTGTGAATGCGTGTCGTTAATGGGTTTGATGGTGGCATGGCCTAACCCCTGCACCATAGACCATGGACCATGGACCACGGACCACGGACCATCCATCGAAAGAGAAACTGTTTTTTGGGGGGGGACTTGCAGCGGCAGCAACGGGAAAAGCCATTTGCATACACGAAAAATGTTGGAGAAAAATAGCAAAACATAAACGAAATTATAATTGAACAAGACGGAAAAATGAATTCTCATTTGCTAAAGCGATTAAGGCGATTAAAGCGATTACATTTTACAGATGTACGAGGGACGAGAGACGGCGACGAGAGACGGCGACTAGAGACGGAGACGAGAGACGAGTAGTTTTTGGTAGAGAAAACAATTTTTAATCAAAAAGATACTCTTCATTGAAGGGAGGGAGAGAATGAGAAGGACTTAAGACTACGGATCGGTTAGGTCATCCATGAAGAGAGTGTCGCGCCACTTGCGACGCTTCGCCTTGAGCTCCTCAGCGGTCCTCTCCTCCTGCTGCTCCTGGAAGTCCACCCAACTAATCTGAACATCGAACAGACCGCGGTGGGGCAGCAGCGTCGGCCCCTGGAGCCCCTGAAATCCCGCCAGGGTCTGGGGCCTGGGCACGTGGGGGATGGCCGAAATCCCCTCCAGGATTCGTCGCTTCCAGAATGCCTTCACCAGCGGCAGCGGCGGACGGTCCGGACTGCAGCTGTTCCTCACGTGGAGGCCGAAGCGGGGTCCACAGGCGGAGGCGTTCAACGCTGAGAGGAGGACCCTCCGGACGGGTAGTCCTCCGAGTGAGCGGCAGTTGTTTGACATTCTCCCCGATTCGAATGGGTCTTTAGATTAAAGTTTTCTTTTGTTTCGAGGACATCGAAAATTTAGCCAAAAAAAAAAATAGTTTTGAATATTTTTGTGTTATATATTTTTGTGCTGCTTTTTCAGTTTTTGTGTGTTTTCTTTGAGTTGTTCAGTTTAAGTGAAGTACATTTATATATTGAGGTTTTGGGAATATTCTGAGGTGCTTTCTCCGACACATTTGATGCCAGTTTCGAGCAAATAAAGTTATTGCTTTTACGGAACTATCGGCGATCTTCGTGCTTTAGAGGAATAGAAATTCCGCACCGAAAGAATTGTTTTTTCACTTCCGCCTAGTATTTTCGCACTGTACTGTACTTTTAGTGTGACCGTCTGCGAAGCGAAGCGCTGAGTCCCTCTTGCTTTTGTGAACTGAAAGGACAATGCAAATTCCCAAATCCTTAAATGTAAGGCTTCTTCTCCAAAGTTCAGTCTGGAAGTCGCTGTGAAATGGAAACTCCCACGAATTTTCTCAAGAACTCCCTGATATTATAAGTTGTAAGCTATGGATTCTATCTATTGTAATTACCATCTCAGAAACTCTCACTATTGTTGTGCAACAATTAACCATTCCCATGGCTGTTTGAAAATGACAGGCACTGTGGTTTGACCTTGGGAGTAGCCACAGATTTAGCTTGGACTCTGATTTTCAGAATTTTCAGAAATTGAAGGAAGAGAAGGAAGACTTAAGGAAGACTTTTGCGAGACCTGTTTCGCGCGGGTGCTTTTTGTTTGTTTTCTTCGATTAGCAAATGTTTCCTGTGACTCCTGGGGTTGCATGATGCATGGACCGTTCGTTATTCAATCACTTGGATATCAGTAGGGGTACTCCAGTTGTTGGCATTCGGCTGCGTTGACAGTTGCATTTCCCGCCCATTAACGAAATGCGATAGTGCCGGCAATAACCAAAGGAAAAATACTCGAGATTTCGGTGTGGTACGAGAAAAAACAAAAAAAAAACAAACTGAAAGCCAATGTCGATAGTGATGTTGCAGTTGCAACAGTTGCTGCCACTGCCGCTGCCGCTGCCGCTGCTGCTGTTGCAGACATGGTAAAAAGTTGTCCATTGATGGGGAGACCTGCAGCATGGAGCCGGAGCCGGAGACGGAGCCTGGCACCTTTTGGACCACCAAACGAGCGAGCGCCAACGGACGACTGTCGGATGAGTGTCTGCTGCTGCCGCTGCTGCCCCGCATTTCAGATACATTTTGATAATAACAGTCCCCACCACCATTGGGGGGTGGGGAAGGAGATGCAATAATTCAACGTAAAGTGTTAAAATGTCGATATTAATTGTAGACTAACTAACTTTAGTGGCAGCGACTACTACCAGTGCCAGTGCCAGTGCCAGTGCCAGTGCGAGGCAGTAGTAGTCCAAGTACCCCCCTATCGGTCCGCATTTAAATAAATTGCGATTATGGTGGCAAATGTGGCAGCCCCGAACCTCTGGGGATCCCCTTGAGTGTGGCACTTGGTGGTGCCTCCTTTGGTGGCTTGGTGGTTTGTGCCGCTAATAATATTTATCAGTGGCTCTCATTTGTTGCCCCGGACACTGGAGAGCAAGGAGGACACGAGGAGGCGCAATCGATGGCCAATAAACCGCAAAAAACCAAAAAAAAATAACCAAAACCAAATCGATGGCTAATTGCGCTGCCTGTTGCCTGTTGCTCCCTGTTGCCTGCTAACTTGGCCAGTAGCTGGTTTCTTGGCCACTTGGATGGTCTGGAGGCTCGTTGGGATCGCAGTGTGCATCCGCTCGTCAGTTTTCGTTTTCGGTTTTCGGTTTTCCACATTGTTTTGTGTGGCACATGCATATTTATTTATTTATTTATTTATCTCCGTAGTAGCTCTGGAAATCATGCAAAACAAACAGCAAAAAATGCTGCGACATGCAACAAAATCACACGACGACGAGCGGCTTTCAAATCGAATCTCCCCCCAAAAAAAGCTGTTAAATGCAGTTGAAGAGCGATTTTTACAGCCGCCCCCCCCCTCCCTTCGAGTCAACCACGCACCAAACAGCAGAGAAAATGTGAAGGAAAATGCAATGGAGAGTCACAGAGACAGAGGGACACACAAAAAGGAGCGACAGAGATAGATTCATGGAAAATCTATTTAATATTTTCCCGCGCGCACTCACGCACGACGTGGGAATTTTCGTTCGAGACTTTGAGTCTTTGAGTCGTCCCTCGTCTCCGTCTTCGTCTCTGTCTGTGTCTCCATCTCCATCTTCATCTGTGGACTGCGTTTTGCTTTCTGCGAGATGGATGGATGTATCTTGAAGTTTGGCATGCAAAAACGACCGAAACATTGAACCTTTCATAGGCTTGGGGAAGCGATATCCGTAGATATCCACAGCTGATATCGGGAAATGGGTTTTTCGCTATCCGAATGATCTGATCTTTGAACCCAAAAGGAAGGAAGGAAGGAAGTACAACGCAACACCAGGGAATGGATGTGGCAAGAGGAACTTTTTGAAAATGAGAGGATACGGATCATCGTCTGTGGCATTAAATGCCACATGTGCACCATTTGATCCCACCAATCCGATCTAATACTTGTTGAGGCCACTCCAGCAACTGTTTTGGCTTTGAATTGCAGCTCCTTCCTCTGTGGGCTGTATAGCTGTTTCTTTTTTGGCCTTCAATAAACAGAAACAGAAGAGATCATACATTTACGAGACATGCTCGGACCTGACGACCAATGCGACGGAGCCCTCCGTCGCCTGCGGACCCCGCTTTGGCCTCCACGTGTGGAACAGCTGCAGCCCGGACCGTCCGCCGCTGCCGCTGGTGAAGGCATTCTGGAAGCGACGAATCCTGGAGGGGATTTCGGCCATCCCCCACGTGCCCAGGCCCCAGACCCTGGCGGGGTTTCAGGGGCTCCAGGGGCCGACGCTGCTGCCCCACCGCGGTCTGTTCGATGTTCAGATTAGTTGGGTGGACTTCCAGGAGCAGCAGGAGGAGAGGACCGCTGAGGAGCTCAAGGCGAAGCGTCGTAAGTGGCGCGACACTCTCTTCATGGATGACCTAACCGATCCGTAGTCTCAAGTCCTTCTCATTCTCTCCCTCCCTTCAATGAAGAGTATCTTTTTGATTAAAAATTGTTTTCTCTACCAAAAACTACTCGTCTCTCGTCTCCGTCTCTCGTCTCTCGTCGCCATCTCTCGTCCCTCGTACATCTGTAAAATGTAATCGCTTTAATCGCCTTAATCGCTTTAGCAAATGAGAATTCATTTTTCCGTCTTGTTCAATTATAATTTCGTTTATGTTTTGCTATTTTTCTCCAACATTTTTCGTGTATGCAAATGGCTTTTCCCGTTGCTGCCGCTGCCGTCCCCCAAAAAGAGTTTCTCTTCCGATTCATGGCCGTGCTGCGACGAGTAGAACTAGTGAAGAGAAAACCTCTATTGCATTAAATATAATTAGGATACAAGAACTACAATAGATGGCCCAAGAGAGCAACTTCCTTTCTGGGTTGTGCCAACAGGAAGTGCGCTCCACATAAATCTGTGGAGCCTGAAACACCCCACATTTGATGCGAGGGGAAGCTGTTCCGCAGAAACCTGTTGCCTGACAATAAATTCCCAAAACCGAAAAACCAAAAAACTTTCCCCGGCTTTGGATCTCAAACTTCCTTCCTTCCCTTAGCGAAATATGGAATGCTGCAACGTTTAATCACAAATCAACTTTCACGCCCCCCAACAAAAATACGAACTCCCCCTTGGATCTCTTTTTGAGCGCTCACTTAAAGGTAAAGCCTTTAAGCTTTAGGCCACATTAATCCACAATTACTTTTGTGGCCAAGAGAGGAGAAAAATGACTCAATTTAAATCAATAAAAACCAAAGGGCGCAAGGGAAAACGTGCGCCCCCAATGGTTGCAAGGGAGAGGCTGAAGAAAAAACCCACCGTCCGAATGGCCGCATATTCGTACGACGAATGCCAGATCAATGTCGAATGTTGCTGTTGCTGCTGCTGCTGCGTATTGTAGTGGAGGCGACGAGCGTATTGCCTCATGAATATTTTCCAGATTACATAAGCCATGGCCTCCTCCTTGAAGATCGATGCAGCGGGGCAGACTACTCCTCCGCCGTCTCCTCCCTGAAGATCGAGGGGCAGCAGCGGGGCAGCACTAGCGGCGTCCGATGCACATGCAAATTATATGCGTGCCAGGAAACTGCCGGCGGTGGTGGTGCCGCCAATCCATCGATGCATCGACATCCGAAAGACAGAGAGAGAGAGAGAGAGAGAGGGAGAGAGGGAGATGCTGGAGGACTGGCGAATTGGCGGATGGAGAGTCCCCCTTTTTCGAATGCGTTGCGTTTATTGTTTTCATAAATAAGGAAAATCTCTTCGAAAATTTGTCGGTTTACATTATTATTATTATTATTATTACGAGTATTACGATTCCTCCTCTGCTCTGCTCTGCTCCTCTGCTCTGTGGCTGCAACAACAAAAGACTCACGAGAGAGACTGAGATTCACTTCATTTTTCACTTCGAACAAAACGAAAATCCACAAAAAAAACAACACCAACAAAATCGGGGGAAGGCACATACAAAAGGAAGGCACTGTGTCTCTCCCTGCTGTCTCGTGGTTTGGGCTTTTGGTTGATTTTTGTGTATTATTTTTAATATTTATTTACATTTTGTTTGCATTTTGTTTCATTTTTTTTTGTATTTTTTTTTGCATAACGCGCACAGGTCACGACGGAAATCGTTGGCTGGCAATTTATCAATACATAGTTGTACTCCACTGTACTCTGGCACTCCACTGCACCGCACCGCACCGCACTGTACTGTACTGCCGATGGGGGCCTAAAGGTACCAGCCAGATTCAGATTCAGAGTTGGACTTTCGAGAGGTCCCAGACGAGGTCCAGAGACAGTCCAGAGCGGGCGCCCAAGAAATCCAAAAACAAACTGAAAAAAAAGCGCGCACAAAATTTCGTTCAGTTTTTCCGTTGGATTTTCCTTTCAGTTTTTTTTTCCTTTTTTACTTAGGCCTGCGTTTGCGGCAAGCGCTTTGTGGCAACTAAATTGAAATGAGTTTCAGCGTATGGGCGAGGGTGTAACTCACAGACACAGACATAGATACAGATACAGATACACCTATGCAACACAGAGAGAGAGAGACCCATCCCATTCCCATTTGCACGTCACAGCCATTTGCAGGCTTCAATGATTTTTCCTCCATGCGTGCGAAACGCTTTGAATGAATGGCGATATTTGGCTCCCACTTCCCCCCGCCTACCAGCCCCCACCGCTCTTCTGTGACTCAACGAACGCTTCGATTGAATGGACTTGGACGGCCCGGTACGGCAGGGTACGCTCTCGTGGATCATCATCGATGGCAACAGCAAACACCACACCCACAATTATCGCTTGATTTTGTGGGATATCAACGCTTGGACATACGGTTTGTGGCAAGAACCACTTCCACCACAAGATGTATGTAACTCTTAGTTCCTTAAATTCCTTAAGAGTCTTCAAGAAAAAGAACGACCATTCGCAAAACAGAACTCAACTTTTTTCTCATTTAAAGTGTTTCTGTTTTTCACAAGTTCTGTTTTAGTTTAAAGTTGGAAAACTAGCAGAACTCCTACTAAAGATCGAAATAGATTTTGGAGAAAATCTTGCGAAATACTCATCAAAATACGGTATTCTTTGATCGATAAGAAGGAAAGAAGTAAAGATCTGGTCTTTACTTTGAGGTAGGAACAACTTTCCTCAAAATTCGAGTGGATATATGTACGTAGTCCTTTAGAGCAGACTTTACTCTCAAAGGGCACATCACTCTTCGACTTTTTATAAACAAAAAATTTCCCGTACAGTTTTCGTTAGTCGGTTGTTTGACGTGTCGTGTCGTGTCGTGGGGAGGTCTGTTTTATGCACACTTTGCCATTGCTATTGTTGCTATTGTGTGTGCCGTTTCCCAGTTCCCCCAAGTCCCCCACAAATTGTGGAATATAAAGCATTGAGACATCTGTGCAACAAACTTCTGCCTTGAACTTGGTGGCATGTTCTCTCATTTATGGCACCACATACATACATACATACATACATACGAGTATGCTTTATGGATATATGGTATATGGCGTTGCGTTCCTCGTAGTTTTTGCTACTTTGTCGGTGGCTCAGTTTATGCTTTTCGTACAGGCATTTGTTTACGGCTACTTCAAACTTCGACACAAAAAACACACTCACACACAGACACTGAAACAGGGTTCAGCAAAAGCGCTAACGAGGGAAGACCATCGGGGTAGCTATGGGGGTCCTTTCGAAGAGGTTTCGATAGTCGGGAACATGCGATCCGTTGAGTGTTGTTTATTCTGCTTTCAGTTTCATAAATCTGGAAGTTTGAGTGGGAACCTGAGAATAAACATTTGTCCAGCGGATAAACAATAGCTCTGGGAGGAACAGACAGCCAAACAGACTGCCAGACAGACATCCAAAGAGTGCCATAAATATAAACATTAAGTGCCCTCCTTCCTCTTCCTCTTCCTCTCCCTCTCCCCACCACCCTCTCGCCATATTTTCATTTGTAATAAGAACATTATGACCGGTACTGTTCTGTTTCGTGGGACAATAAATAAATCAATTTGTGATTAAGACTATTAATATTTCCGCTTGCCAGCGAATCAATTAAAATCAATTAATTTACTAGATTAATGCACAACCCATGCACATGAGTGAATCATGCCTCAGTCGTGTTTGTGATTAATATCGGAACCCATTCGTGAGGGCTTTAATTGAGGGTCAACGAGGGGGGTTGGCTGAAGAGGGTTAAGAGCTGGCTCTCTGGAGCGGTACACTCACCGTTCTTCAAGGGAGAACCTCTGCTCTGCTCAATTCTTGGGTATTTGGTAATTCTTTATTTCTGATCTGGCAGTCAAGGATTAGTGATCATTAGGAAACCCGCATCAATTTAATATATTATGTTTTGATGTGCAACAAATACTTTCAGGGCTAAGCCCCTGCCATTTGTGGCGTGGCAATAGATTGGCTCATATCTGTTGACTGTATTAGAAAACTCTTTGATATGCACTAGGCATACACCGCATTCCCCCGTCATTACCCTTCCCTTGCCCGCGCTACGTGCCCTGGCAGCCTAAGATCCGCATAGCAATACACAAAAATTTCGAAATCGCACAACAAATAATTGCCAAAAATCAACGGAAGAGTCAACTTTCATAAAAATTGATTTGCTCCTCCCCCACCCCCACCCAACCGACCGGCTGTTGGTGGGAATTGATTACAGAGCTGCAAAATGTGGCTAAATGGTAAATGTTTTCCAAACTGACAGCCATAATCGCTCAACGCCAACTAGTTTGAAAGAGGGATGAAGGGAGCTAGAAGCAGAACCAAGCCTATGTCTCCCTCAGGTCGATGGACACACCTTCCCGGCTGGAGGGGTGTTTATGGGGTGGTTTTGGATGTGCCGTAGCATAAGCGGAAACGGAACAAAGCCTCAGACATACCCCACATTCCATCCTGCGGAGTTGGGGCTGATGGGGCTTTTGGCGTCTGATGGAGAAATTATCGCGAGTCACGCAAATGCAAAAGTTTTCTAACCCTTCTGGTGGCTTTGGCTTTGGCTTTGGCTTTGGCGGCGCCCCCGATTACCAGGAAATACAAAATTAGCCAAGAATTGCGGCAAAAGCCACCGAAATTATTGCCTTTAATTGAATTTGCAGGCAGACACTGAAACACTGAATGATTTTTAATTGAATTCCGGCTAAAAATGTTCCCTAAAATCTAAAGAATATGGGGATGACGTGACCCACTTGGGACCCACAATTGGAACCGCCCTAGGAAATCCGCCACGCAATACTCACGCGACTGCGGCGACGCGCCAGGCGCTTTTTAATCCACTTGAGCGCCCCCTGGCGACGGCGCGTAAAGGACATGCTGCAGGGCTGCCAGATGTGGAGGACGAGCAGCAGAAGGCGGTGCAGCCAGACTCCGACCTGCTGGCGCGTGGGCAGCGGCAGCTCGTCGAACATTAAGCGAACGAAAACACTACTCGACCGAAGGGGGGTGCGGGGGCACCGCGGCAGGCAATTAACATAACACTTTTTATTGGGGGGAACAGAACTTCTCCTGGGAATCGGCAGCGAAAATGTTTACTGCGGAATTTCACTTTTCACTAGATCCACTTTCGAGCTGGCTAGGGGTGCGGGGAGGCGTGTGTTCCCTGCTGCCGGTACGCGGACGTTGTTTCTTCAGTTGCGTTTGCGTTTGTTGGTTGTTTGAATGAGAATGCGGCCGCGTTTGTCGCCGCTGCTACGGCGAAGGCGACGACGGTGATGGCAGCGCTAGTAACACGGGGAGAGACACAAAGAGAGAGAGAGAGAGACTCACGTCGAGGCCGGCACTGAGGCTCAAGCTGAGACTGAGACTGAGAGTGCTGCACTTGCGATTGTCACCCAATGATACTCCATTGATACCCTGTCAGGAGCTATTATGATTCTGAAGAGGGGTTGCAAGTATGCGATGTACATATGTATGTATGTGTGTAGATATGTTTTGTTTTATATATTCTTACAACAGCTCTGCCAAAGCAGATAAAAATTGTATCACACCTGCCTTACGGACCATTAATCAGCAAGGGTATCAAGTCCATCGGCTTGGGTACCCTTTTTTCTTCTGTCGCCCGAGCGCTTTGTTTACACATAATTTTTGTGGCTAGCGTGCGTGTGGTTGACTGCAAAACTACATAAATAATGCAATAAACCGAACAAAAAACCGAAACTGAAAAATCGAAGCACAAAACGGGGCTTTTTTTGCAGTCAAAGCACATCGCGCACTTTAACGCCGGCCCGGCTTGGCCCTCCTGCCCGCCGCGCCCTCTCCATCACGTTCACTGATGGCTCACGCTGCCGCTGCAAACGTCGCTGCCCAAAAACTCTTGCCTAGCTGTGCACTAAATTTGATTGTCGGCAGCGTCAAACAGTAACGGCATCTACTAGCAGCAGTGGCCGTGGGGCGCGGCAGCGGCAGAAAGCGATAGCAAAAGCAATAGTCGGTGAAGGCGAAGGTGTTGGTACTCGTATCGTACTCGCACAGTGGTCGCTGAAAGAGAAAAAATATATGTATTTTGGGTTGGGGGTTTTCAATAAGTTAAATCAGTTCAACCATCGATACAGCTCTAAAGATTATAAGCATTTCCCTACTCTAACATACGTACATATGTATGTATGTTCCGAATTTTCATCAATCCATTCCACTCTCTATAAAATCAATCCCACTGTGTCTTTAACATGCATGTGGGTGAGCGAAGAAGAGCAAGTGCAAGCGCCGTTATTCTACTGTAAAGCAAATGCTCTTGCTTTTATTAAAGAGAAGGAGAGGAAGCAACGACACAAACTGAAGCAGAGACAAAAGCCCACGTCGGATTAATGTTGTTGTTGGTGTTGCCGCCTGTCAGCGTTGTTATTTACTCGCTCGCGTTGCCAATGCAATTTGTTGCTTCTTTCGTTGCTGCTTCTGTTACTGCTGTATTACGGTTATTTATTTATTTATGTTAATGTTTCTGCTGCCGACGACGGCGTCGCTGCAGCTGCAGAAGCTGACGCTGCATTTGCATTGTTTAGAATGAGAACGAGAAAACGAGAGAGAACCAGCAGAAACAGCGGCTAACACGACAAGTAAAACTCACGCGACAAAAGCCCATAAATAAAGAGAGAGACATCTAACTTCGGTAGCAAAGCTTTCGATACCCTTCTACATGCATAGAATGTTTACACATGTACATACATATGTACATATATGGTAGCTGTAGGATACGTTCCGATCTTGCGGGTTACGAATTATGTCTTATTATTTTTACCAAAATGCTTCAAAGCTTCGCCAACATCTGATCAAAATAATACCTCAGACAGGAGAGGGTATAAAAAGTGCTCACATATGGTAGCTGATTCCCTGTACGGTATTTTCGTATATGAGTTCTCCCATGATACACTGAGAAAACGAGAAAGTTGTCGGAGAGTTCGCTTGCAATTTCGAGATCTTTCCCATTGCAGAGAAATTGATGAAAAATTCTCAGCACGTTCGTTCAGCTACATATGTATGTACATATGTTTCCCTTTGATGGACAGCTAGCTGTTCGGCTGATCCCCCTCCAGGTCCCATATTCATTTGTGGCACCTGTGAAGCAGATGTCGCCAATCAGTACGATGGAATACTCATGAATTTTGATGCTCATTCATGGAAAACAAAGGTAAGGTACGTCAAACCTTCTGCCAGGCACGGCTGGTGGGGGAAATAAAAAATATAGTTACCATATTCGTAAGCTGGTAATCGGAATCACTAGGAACAATGAACGAGAATCAGTACCGTACCAATACTATCGCAGTAAATTGAGACCAATGAGAACTTAATATCAATGAGGACTTGGGATATCTACATACATTTGTACATACACAGATCTTTGCCTCAGAGAAATCTTGAATGGGAAAAAATATATGTATGGTCTTCTTGCTCTTTTGTTTTGTTTTTTTCGCTTAATCTTAATCTCCATTTCATTTACGAGATTCGCGCTTTACACGGTTCTTTGCTCTTCTATGCTTATCTCAGCAAGAACAACAACAATGCCCAAACTCTTCCTCTCAGAAAATGCTAAGGGGAATTGCGATCGGGATACTTGCTGCGTAGTTTCTGGTTTTTTATACCCGATACTCAAAATGAGTATTGGTGGTGGTTAAAATGGATGTTTGTAACGTCCAGAAGGAATCTTTTTCGACCCCATAAATTATACATATATATTCTTGATCAGCATCAATACCCGAGTCGATTGAGACCGGTCTGTCTGTCCGTCCCTATCAGCGCCTAGTGCTCAAAGACTATAAGAGCTAGAGCAACGAAATTATATATCCGGACTTCTGTGATATGATACTGTTACAAGAATATTTCAAAACTTCGCCCCACCCACTTCCTCCCCCACAAAAGGCGAAAATCTGTGGAATCCACAATATTAAAGATACGAGAAAATCATAGAGAATGACCATATCTATCTATATAATGACTAAGTATCGGGTATAAATGTAGAGTTGACTTAAAGATGCCCTTATTTTCAATACATCTGAAATTCAGATTCTGAATGTAAGGATCTGTGTAGCTTTTCTATAAATATCATTCTACTTTTTGTAGTGAAACGAAGTAAGTTTTCATTATATCCCTGACTTGTCACTGACTTGTATCACTATCTAACGCCAGACGATAGACTTACGTTTATATATTGATAATGGATTCCGTCAATCTGAATAAAAGCTTTAAAGAGACCGTACGTCTGGTCCTCAGCAAAGAGGAGCTGGAGAAGGAGGGGCGAAAGATCCATGAGGTTAGGAGCATTCCCAAGTCGGATTTGTGGACCTTTGAGAGTGTGGGTGGCTTCTTTATGCCCACAGAGGAAATTTCCAAGTTGCCACTGGATCGCCAGGAGCAGCTGCTGATTCGCAACCTCATCTACGCCTTCTCGGGCGTACCCTCGTCGCACATAAAGCCGGAAGCGACCATCAAACAAATCGCAACGATGCAGCAATCGGGCCTGCCCAATGTGCGCTTTAAGATCGATGAGGGGTTCAACAGTACCATTAGAACGCTGGGCAACTATTTGCTGCCCTTGGTCGGCCACTTCATCAGTGTCCAGAACTTCATTGAGACCACTAACATGACTCCAAGAAGCGGACGCACCAGTCTGGCCCTGGCCGCCGCCTTGAACGACAAAATGCAGCAGTACTACGACCTGCAGGCGACGATGGAGACGGAGATGCAGCAACGGAAGCTCTTTTTAAAGGATCTGGTGCGGCAGCTTCGTCCCTGGGTCGGCATCCTGAAGGTGTTTAGCTCGATGGTCACCAGTGCCCGCGGCAAGAAAACCAGCGCCCAGATTCTCAGCGATATGAATGAGATCTATGAGAAGCTGAAGCCAAGCGATCTGGAGCTGAAGGAGCTTTTGGAAAAGATCCTGAACTCCGTCAGCAGCGTCTACATGAAGATCGTACAACTGTGGACCCAAAAAGGCATCATCTACGACTTGCAGCACGAGTTCTTTGTCGAGGACTCGGAGCGCTCCAATTCCATGAGCAGCACCCTCCTGGCCCCGGAACAGTGCTGTCACGCCTACTGGGAGAATCGCTACACCCTGCTGCCGGAGCGCCTGCCAGATTTCCTGAACCCCCTGGCTGCGGAGATATTCCATGCCGGCAAGTACCTCAACATCCTGCGGCAGTGCAACGTGAAGCTGACGCTTATGCAGACTCCACTCAACTACAATCCCAAGGAACAGAGCCATGTGGAGATCATTCGGAGCAGCTACGAACTGCCGGGCAAGAAGCTGCTGGATTACCTGAAAACGGAGCACCACCTGGAGTGGCATCTGGGCAATCTGCACGGCTACTTCCTGCTTCAGAACCAGGAATTCGCGGAGGCACTGCTGGCCAACTACCAGGAGCATATGCAGAGAGGCGTGGACCGCATGATTCCGGAGACGCTGCAGAGTCTGCTCATGGAGACGCTGCAGATAATCGACGATCCCTTCAAGGACCTGATGCGCTGCCAGCTAAAGGACCGCGATGTGGCCTCCCAGCTGCAGAAGCTGGTGAACCGCGAACATGGAGAGGCGGACAAAAACGAGGGGAACACCAGCAACACCACCAGCGACGACGATGGAGATCCTTTCGGTAGGTTCACTCTCTACGGCTACGAGGCCTTTGCCCTGCGCTACGAGCCCAAGTGGCCGCTCAGCTTCGTCCTTCACTCGGAGCCCCTGCAGAAAATGCAACTTCTGCAGCGCGTTATCTTGTTTCTGCGCTACGTGCAGCGTCAGTTGCAGGCCCTGTGGCAAGCCCCGCCCGAGGGCACTATCCCCATCTCGCAGAGCACTCGCTCCGAAGCCCTGCGCCAACGCATGCTGGGCATCATGATCAACCTGGAGCAGTACATCACGCAGGACATTGCGGAGCCGCGCTGGGAGATGCTCATCGTAGTGGCGGACAAGGCCCAGCACATCGACGATCTGGTCGAGCGGCTCTCCATCACCCTGGAGGAGTGTCTGCGCCTGGGCCTCCTCTCGGGAGCCATTGCCTTTGTGCGCTCCCTATTCACGCTCGGCCAGGTGTGCCTCAACTTCAGCAGCTTCGCCGAGACCCCGCTGTGTGACGAGCAGGCCTTCGACGACGGCGTGGCCGAGTACGAAACTGAGTTTGGCAGCCTCCTGAAAAGCATCCTGGATCTGGTGCGGGAGCTGGCCAACTCCACCAGCAGCACCGCAGAGGATGAGCGTGAGTCCTGTCAGCAGTTGCTGCTACGCCTGGAGGCCTACAATTAGCGTTTTGTTTCTCGTTCCCAATTTATTTTCGTTTCGTTTAATGTTTTCTTTACGGACCACAGAAGCATGTCACACCAGCACTCCATGATCTGTTGGTCAATCTCCGCACCAACCCTTGCCAAATTATCCGTCCAACCAAATTTGTAATGTGCGCCCAAACCCAAAACCCATTGAAAACGAAACCGAACCATAGGCACCCTATGATGTTCACACTAAATTCTCCCAATTGTTCGGCTATTATGATCTCACTTTTGGTCTTATACAAAAACCTATGTCACTTTTTAGACTGCCTGTAATTTCAATAAATTGTCCGTAAAGATAAATATCCGTAGATTTAGTATCTGCCTAAATTTACGGATATACAAATATAACTATTAGCAAGTGGCATTTATAATTTATTTTATATACAATTTTTATAGGCTGCTAGGATTTTCCTGAGTTTAAGGGAGAGCATTGCATCAAAGACTATACAATTACAAAGATAATGATACTGTACGACTGTTTCTGCCGACTTTGGCTATAACTTTCGACTCCCCCCTTTGATTTCCTTCTCCAAATTAGTATAACGTTTATTCCTAAGTATATTTCTTTATGAATTTGGGTTTATGTCCAACTTAGAAACTCGAAGCATTTAATCTACATGATCTTTAGCTACAGTTTAGAGCAAAGGAACCCCCATATTCTAAGGGGTCCAGCAGAGTCCTAGTGTAAACACAGCACAATACTCGGCACCTGCAATGCGAGTGCACTTTTGGATCGCTTTTGGCCCCATTGTTCGCCGGCTGCCGCTCACAATGGGCGTGAATAATCGATATATGTGTGGTGTGGTGTGTGGTTAATTCCTGGGCAGTCGCGGCGCACACCGGCGGCTGCTTATGCCTCGTCACGGTGGGGGCACGGCAAGTAGGGGGCGCGTGCAACGAAATGCAGCGATTTGCATAGGATCGTAAATAATTTTAAATGGCGGTAAACAGATTTTGATGCAGTCTCCGCGGCACTGCCTGCCGACTGTCTGTCTGCCTGCCAATTTGAATTCAAAGGCCAATTGTTATGTAAATGCACCTTGCCTCAGTTGCAGACGCACGCAATGCGAGGCAAGCCGAGCTGCATGAAATTTGTAATAATAAATAAAAGGAAAAATGCGAAATGCGAAATGCGAACCAACGTACCATCGAGAGAGTCTGTCCAGAAATCACTTAATACTTATCGCTTTAAGGACAACAGGTGGTCCAGGTCCAGGTCCAGGTCTCGGTCCCGAGCCCCAGCCACAGCCACAGTCGCGGCTATAGCCAAGACCGATGATGATGCAACAGTTTGTGGCCAATAATAATGCACTCGAAATTATGGTAAAGTTCAGATACATTGCTTCCGAAATGTATATGATTATCTGCTTGCGAAAATGATGGACTGCCCGCAGTCCATTTGCCTTTTACTCCACTTGTACGGATACTCCAATCCGCTCCACTCCCCTCCACCACCCGATCAGAGGTTTAGCCAGAGAGCCAGGCTACACTTATGTGTCTGGTGGTACGATGACCAGTCGTGGGAAATCCACCAGCGAATGCGCCACCGCTGATGATGGGGTACATGAATGGGGGGCAGGTTCATTAAACCCATGGCACGCCCTGCAGATGACTTCATTTGTGTGTTGCGGCTAGAAATGCCATAAACTTGAACCCTCCTCAGCCAGCAGTTGGTTTATAAAGCGGAAGCGCGGCTTCAGGGTTCACTAGGCCCCCGAATTTTACGAGACTTTTGGCAAAACAAACAAAAGCCAATCAAGCGAGACGGCAGAGGTTCAGGGTTCATCAGTTGGCTAAGTGAAGGTTAACTAAGAGAACATTTATTAACATTTTGGAATTATTATAATACTTCTGGTAAGCAAAAGGAAGATCGTTACACATCGTCCGATTGATGACTTTTCGATAGAGTATCCGCGTTGGACAGCATTGCATCAATAGTATCCGATGGAATATCACTTGGACGTTCAAGTGGTTCATCACTCGGACGCCCCGATTCCGGGCGCGTGGTGTACAGGAACTCATAGCCAAAGTTGCACTCGTAGATCTCCATGTTCTTGACCTTCTCCTGGTACCAGAGCAGCCGTTCAGTGTTGCCGCCCAGGGCCTGATCGAGCAGCTTGCGACGCTGACGGCCCCGCTCCAGGAACTCTATGTAGTCGATGGGCTTGAATTCGTTGAACATGTTAAGGATCTCTAAGGAGTTCTCGCACACCCGCTCATACGATTCGGCCATCTCCATTTCGCGCTTGATGCGCTCCTGGATCATCTCGCTGCGCTGCATGTCTGGCACTTCGGCGGGCAGGATGCGGGAACGGATCGTGTTGATCTCGCTGTCCAGCGTGGATAGAAGCTTCACATGCGACTCCTTCTTGGCTGCCTCGTAGCTTAGTTGCTCCTTCTGCAGGGCCGTCTCGCGGGCCAGCTTCTCGGGATCCATCTGTTTGCGCGACATCAGGATGGTCATCATGCGGTTGAGATTCAGCTCGTCCCAGAGGACAGCCATGCGCTCGTTGTAGGCCAATCCCTGGGTTGGTTTGCTGTTGTCACTGCAGGGGGATTCAGTTGAGGGGCAAAGGACATTATGGACCATTATGTCGTACTCACGCGTTTTCCTCTTCATCTTCCGCCTGTCGTTTGCGGGTGTTCAGCTGCTCCTCCCGCTCGATGCGCTCCATCTCCTTGCGCGTCTCCTCCTCGGCCTCGCGCTTCGCCTCGATGATGTCCTTGTTGAGCTCGTAGTACTTCTGCTCCCACGCCTGTATTCCAGTCTTGCGACGTTCCTCCTTGAGCACATAGTTCATCAGCTTCTGCAGTTCGTTGTCCAGGGGCACATCGAAGCTGTGCGGCAGCTTCACCATTCGAATGCTGCTGTTGTAGTCCCCGATGCCGAGGATCTTGTAGGGCAGCGAGGGTCGGTGCTCGGTGATGCCAGTGATAATGCCGCCGCCCAGGATCTCGATCAGACAGGCATCATCGTCGCGAGCTTGGGGATTGTTTCGCTTTTGTAAAACCCTCGCAATAAACCCCTCGAGAAAGAGATCAGCTTACCCAGAATATCCCACGCCTCGAGTATCCCATCCATGCGGGTTATATAGAGGACGGCGGGCCGTGTCTCGCTCCAGGCAACGGCTGTGAGATCGCAGGGTCGCTTCCGCCAGAAGATCGCCGAATGGGGATAGTCCTCCTTCCACAAGGCGAACACATTGCGCCCGATGGAGACGAAGAGCTCCGGATAAAAGGGATTCTTGCGGACAGACACCACGGGACCATCATGCACCATCGCAAATTGCACCGAACAGTTGACAATCTCCTTGGGATCGGAGTCCGCGTACATGCCCAGCCATTCGACGCGACTAATGTGCCCATAGAACGTGGACAGGATCATGGTCTGCCTTAGGGTTGGCGGATTCTTGGGCACCAGCGTAGTGGGATAATTGGCAGGGCTCTCCATGATCATCTTGGGCGGTGGAGTGCGAATCGAGAACACCGAGCTGTCCGCTATGATCCCCGTCAGTGGTTCATTGAAGTACAGATTGTAGGTGGGCTTCACCGTCTGCGACTTGATGGCCGACTCGCTCTGGGTCAGCTCCTTGGGCAGCAGACGTGTCCGCATTTTGTCCTTGTCCTGCTTGGAGCTCGGGTCCAGATTCCAGAAGCTGACGGTGCCATCAAAGGCGCAGGTAACGAAGAACTTGTGCTGAACGCGTGTGTCCGGATCGGTGTACACCTTGCCAAAGTTGTTCATGTAAAACTGATTGCCCAGCCAATAGAATCCAGTGATGGCGCCCTTGGGAGAGTTCTCCAGCGGCGAGATGGTGGCCGGGGCAACTATCACATCCTCGTCCAGATCTATGGTCCAATTGAGAAAGTCCCCGATCATTGTGCGGTATTTGGCCTGGGCGGCCGACAGGTATTCCTCCTCATCCAAGCGTTCACAACGTCCCTGCAGATCCCATATGACCACCTGTCCGTTCTTGCAGCCGCCCAGCAGTAGATCCCCATTGAAGGGACAGAAGGCCAGTGACGTCGTCTCGATTGGCGCCTCAAACTCCAGCTTGTAGTTCAGATTATCAGCAAAGCTCCACAGCAGCACGGGATTCGGCTGGAGGACCGCCTGCTGCACCCAGTCCACCTGATTGGTGGCCAGCTTGACGGTGGCCGGTGTACTGAAGGCATACGACACAGCGATCAGTCCGGAGAGGCGCGGGTACCAGTCGTGGCCAGCCACAAAGCGCTTGTTGCTCTTCGAGATGTTGGCAAAGCAGATGAACTCCTGAAGGTACTGATTGGTGTACTGCACCACCTGCTTGTTCGATATGAGCATATAGTCATCGCTAAAAAGCATAAGATGATTCTATAGATGGGTAAAGAAGAGAGATCTGTGAGGATTTACCCACCGATAGCTGTCGATCCGGTTGAAGTCGAGTGTGTTGAGCAGCAGCTTGATTTGCTCGGACATTTCGAGTGGCGGCTTCACCGGCACCTCCTGAACTTCTGCAGGACTTATGGGCTTCGGCAGCTTACCCTCTTCCTCCTCCACATCGGTGTCGTCCAGCTCGAGATCTGGTGGCAGCACAGAGATTATCAAATCGAAGTTGAAGAGAGATGAAAAGCGATGCACTTGCCGCTTTCATCGATCTCGTAGAGATACTGCGACCAGGCGTTCGAGGGAAATGTGGGATTCGTCTGCTGCTCGCGATGGATGAGCGCCGGGGCGGACTGAACGGCGACGGTAATCCGACGACGGGTGACATTTTCGAACTTAATGTTCTCGTTGGGCAGCAGCTCGATGACGCCGTCGCGCACATCTCGCGCCATGCGGTAGTCGAAGGCCACGTGTTTGGGCTCCTGGATGGGGTACACGCTCTGGATCTCGACGTCAATGGGCTCGTCCTTGAAGTGCTCTACCAGGACGATCATCTCGTTCTCGGTGCCCTGGCTCACCCAGCGGCGGGGCTTCTTGCGCAGGCGCCGCTGCATCCGCCAGCGCTCAAAGGCCTCCATGTTCTGAATGATGCCCATGGCCGTCTTGGTATCCTTGGGGCTGGAAAAGAAGATGAAGGGATCGCCCTCCGGTGGGTCCTCCACGGACTCAGTGAGTAAGGGACAGAAGCCGATCAGCACGTAGTTTTCCTGGTTGAAGTTCTTGAACAGCTTCATCAGATCCATCACGTTCTCCAGCTCCTCGAACAGAATGTCCCGCAGATCCTTGTACTTAACCTGCTTCCAGGGGAACTCCTGCGTGACATTGACACCCACTTCAATATGCATGCCCTTCTGAACGTTCTCTCTGCGAAAAGGAA